ACAGGCAGCTCGAAGAAATAAACCACAAGCTCGATAGGCTTCTGATGTATGCAAGATTTGATAATCTTGCTGATGAAGATGCTCGTCCATCTGGTAGTGAGAACGACGACGACGACGACAACGACAACGACGACGATGATGATAATATGGACAATTAGTTTTTCTTTTTGTTATTTTTGCTATTTTGTTATTCATGTTAATTTATGATTTTAATATTTAATAAAATGTTAAGTTTTTGTCGCTATTTTTTTGTGCGTTTTATTTGCGTTTTTTCTATTGTTATGTTTATGTTAATTAGTTTTTTCTTGCTTAAGTCTTAAATATTAACTAAAAAATTTCAGCTCTTCCTGCTGAAGTTTTTAAACAATAACTAAAAAACTTCAGCACCTAGGCCGAAGTTTTTTCATGTAATATGAAATTTTAATTTAGCCAGTGTAGGAGCAAAACTTCAGCTCCGCCTGCTGAAGTTTTTAAGTAATAACTAAAAAACTTAAGCAACTATGCCAAAGTTTTCAATTATTAACAAAAAAACTTCAGCAACTATGCCGAAGATTTCGAATAATTATATAATATTTTAATATAATTTCTTCTTCGTTGTGTTATTTTCCAGCTCGTTAACTAAATAACTTCAGCTTAGAATGTTAGAATTCATCGTCAAACAGAAATTCAGCATATCAGTGAAGTTGCTCAAACAAATCAGAAAACATATAATTCAAAAAATACTTACAATGTATTTGAATTTGAATTTGAATTTGGAATTTGAATTTGAATATGGAATTTGAATGCGAGACGCGATCTCCGGAGAGACGGACTGATGGAGGAGATACGGAGGAGATCTGGAATTTGAATCTGGGAATACGGAGGAGAGACGGACTTTTATATGTTTTGGAAGGGTATAATGGTCATATTATTACGGAATTTTTGTTAGTTGGTTACCAAATCAATAGTTTTTAAAAATAGGGTATAGGTTAAAAGGTGGCATAAAAATAGGGTACGACTGCAAATCCCCCTTAATTCAACTAATTCAAACGTGCCACTTTTAGACTCATATAAGAAAGGATCGAAATTGAGATCTTTTTTAGTTCAAGAAATACATTTTTTTAATATTCGGGTATTGATATCCTAGTTTCAATTAATTCAGATTTACGCCATACAGGTTTTATTCTAGAACATTTTTCATTGTCAAAGCTTGAACAAGAAAATTGTGATTAAAAATAAAAAAATCTTATTCATCTCACCATATTCTTTAGTGATGATTCTAGAAATACTTGGTCCAGGTCCACTCTTATTTTTTAGTTTTTTGGTTTTTACTATTGTTTTCTACTTGTTGCCTTATTTTCACCGTTTCTTGAGCCGAGGGTCTATCAGAAACAGCTTCTCTATCTTTACAAGATAGGTGTAAGGTCTAAGTACACACTACCCTCCCCAGACTCCATTTGTTAAATTACACCGAGTTCGTTGTTGTTGTTTTTCACCCGATATCCTGTATTCATATTGAGTCCCGATTAAATTCGAGTTCGCGCCGAAAAATCTACATTGGGGATAAAGCGTTCCCTTACAAAAGGAATCTACTTTTTTTTCCCCTTACTTTTCCTACCTTGAGAAGGCTTTGGAAAGGACAAATATACCCTTATTGAAAAAGTCCAAAATAGAAACTAAGAGGCAATTTCATCTAACTCGTTAGGCCAAGCAAAGGCAACTGTTTCTTAGTTGTATTCCTATGGCTTTTCCCTTTGTTCCCTTCTACGAAACCCCTCTATACCCTCCAATCTCTCCTTATATATTATTCACCAAATTCATTTCTAATTTATTCACTTTTCAAACATTGAAAATTTTCTCCTAAAAAATTCATTCTTTTTCCTTTCTTCAATGGCTAATTCAAGAAAATCCAACTTCAATGATTTTTTGCCACTTATGGCTGAAAAACTAGGTGGGGATGGTTTGATTGGTGAATTATGTAAAGGGTTTCAATTATTAATGGATAAGGATAAATATGTCATTACATTTGAGAGTCTAAAAAAGAATTCTGCTTTGTTAGGGCTTCAAGATTTGAGTGATGATGATCTTAAGAGTATGCTAAAAGAAGGTGATTTTGATGGAGATGGAGCTCTTAATCAGATGGAATTTTGTGTTTTGATGTTTAGATTGAGTCCTGAGTTAATGGAACAATCTCAGTTTTTGTTAGAAGAGGCTCTTAACCAAGATTTTGACTTTTCATTCTAACTTTTGTCTTTATTAGACTCTTTGAGATTGTGACTTTGCATTGTAACTATTCAACTTTATACTTCCTTTAATGTAATTCATGCAATACATTGCAAACATACATAGAGAAACAAGAATTAATGGCCATACTTTCTTGGATATTCATACTTGTAACTTAGAGTAATAGTTGACGTTTTGGATAAATGTGCATTTGATTTGTAGATTTTATTTTCTGGTTTCAATAGGTAAAAATGGGAAAGATGAGAGTACTATAGTCGGTTCCAATACAGATATCGAACACTGAGTGGGAAATAAATAAAAAAAGAGTACTTGGATTTTCAAAAATCTGGTGTAGTAGATCTCCTAAATGATCTCTAGTTGATTGATTATTAGTTATTATCAGGATCATTTTTATAAAGTAAGATATCCTGGTAAAATCATAGATCGCCTATGTGTTATTTAGAGATAGCTCATGTATTACTTATGATCGCCTAAATGATCTCTGATCAATCGCATATTAGTTATTACTAGGATTCTTTTTTTCTTTCTAAAGTGAGAGATCCTGGCGAAATTATAAATCGCCTATGTATTACCTAGAAATAGCCCATATATTATTTATGATCGTTAAGTGATCTCCGGTTGATCGCTTGTTAGTTATTACCAAGATTATTTTTTATAAAGCGGGAGATCCTTGGGAAATTATATATCGTCTATGTGTTATCTAGAAATCGCCCATATATTATTTATGATTGTTTAAGTAATCTCTGCTTGATCTCTTATTAGTTATTACCAGGATCATTTTTTATAAAGCGGGAGATCCTTTTGAAATCATAGATCGCCTTGTATTATCTAGAAATTGTTCATGTATTATTTATGATTCTCTAAGTGATCATCGGTTGATCGCTTATTGATTATTACCATGATTGTTTTTTTGTATATATATATATATATATATATATATATATATATATATATATATATATATATATATATATATATATATATA